AGCATGGATAGGAACACATCCTCTTTTCAAATCCAACAGTGCTGGAGGAAACTGATCAAATTTCTGACAGAGCTGCTCTGATACCTGTCACATGGCTGGGAAAACAAGCCAAATTAGCAAAGAGTACTGTGTATATATATATATTTGGAATTTTGTATAATTGTATGGATTTTCTGTAGAGAATGGCCCTGTCTTAATTAGAATGCATAAGCAGATGAGGTTCAACTGGAGAAGGCAGTGTTCCAGATACAATATCAGTATTAACACTGCTGGACACTGTATCCATCTTTGGGTTCTGCATTGGGGAAAAAAAGGTCAAGTTCTCACAAATCTACACCAGAAAATTAAATGCATGCTAAGAATTTTTTAAAAACATGTATTTTGGTAGAAGTCAGTATTCCATAAGGGTCTATTGAGTCCTGGAAGAAACAGTCAAAAGACAGTAGTGTCTTACAGCAACTGCTTGTTATAAAATACTCTATTGATGGTTAATCAGTAGAAAGAGCTGTAAACTGTAGGAATTGCACAAATTAGAAACAATTCCAAGGAGGCAGCTAGTGAGGTGTTTGCAGACAACTGAGCATTTGCTGAGAGGATGGAAGTATTTGGTGTGACAGGGTCTGTAAAGACTTCTGTTGCGTGTCTACATAACACACTAAGTTGGTTCTCTCTCAAAATTGTTATTGAGAAGAAAGTCATAGATGTATGGAGTTTTCTGCCTTTAGTATTAACAAAAAATATGTTCATGAGACAGAACAGCCCAAACTTGTGCTGCAGTCTCTATCTTCTACATACTTTGTCATTTCACATTTGTTTTTCATATGCATTTTTTCCACATAACTGCATAATTTTGGAATTGTTTAAGAAAGAGATGCATAGAATTTGTTTCGCTCCTTTCCCTGTAGTTTATGAGAAAGCACATGAAATTTGTACCTTCACCCCACCTGAAAAAACTGGGAAACAATGAATAGAAAAGAAAGTAATTAAACTTTTTTTTTCCTCAGTTACATGAGTTGTGTGGCAACATTTCAGTTGAACTCATAGATATTATAGACATTTATAATGACTGTATTTTATTACAATTAGAGTGTTAAGAAACATGTTGACAGTTTGTTCAGCTTCATACTGTAGTTTGGTAAGATATGAAGGAATTGCACTTAATAGAAAACAAAATGGTTAATTAAAGAGGTGTATACACCTATAATTTTCATGTTGTTGTTAAAGGTTAATGAAGACTGTTAATCAATCATGTGGTACAATAATACATTTCCATTGAATTTAGATGCAAACCAGAAAAAGAAAAAAGCCTAAGAATCATTTCTTGCTAAAACAACCAGGCTATGATGACTACTAGTTGTTACTGTATAGTCTATAATTATTTTTTTTCATTATATACCTCTCAGGTAACAGCTTAGGAGACAATTCAGTTGCTGTCTGTCATGCTCAGCATTAAACTGCTTAGAAAACCTTTCTCTTGTTCTGTACTGAGCTTCAGAAAAATGAATGCCAAAGCATTTTTCTTTCTTTTATTTCTTTCTTTCATTTAACTTTATTTTTCTGTATCAAGATGGGGGGGTGAAAATAAATAAAAAGGTGTGACAAGCACAATTGCTAAATTACTTGTATTGGCTGTGGGCTTCCCAAACTGAAGAGTTTTGACTGGATTTTCGCAAGCTCTATCGTACACTTCCTCAAAGCTCCCTCCTACACTACTTGAGCCTTCGAGGAAAGTTTATTTTGAACCTCTGAGCCTTTAATATTTCATTAAAACTGTAGTTTAAGTCAAACATCTTGTCAAACAGTTTCTTACAGATCTTTGGCATATTCTGAACGTGAGTTTTACAAGTACTTGGTTATAGTAATGCTGCAAACACGAATTGTTCAGTAAGAGCCATAGTCCAGCTGGAATACTACAAAAGTACAAGGTTTTCCAGTGATGTAAGAATTTTTTTAAGGAATGTATACAAACCCAGCAATAAGCTAAAATTGCACTCAGACAGACTTAGGTCATATACAGAACATCATCTCTGTGCAGGCTGCCATTTCCTTTCCCACCCCTCATCCAGTTATTTTTCTTTTCCTTGACTTTAAGTGAAGGTTTTGGTCCTTGTTTACAAAACTGGTTTGACAGTATGATTGATGTCTCTCTGTTCAGGCAGTGTATTATCAGGCACTTGTGAAACACAATACAAAATGGAGTTTGCAGCTAAAGCAAAAACAAACAGTAATGCCCCAGCAGCCTGTGCTGTAGATTAATTCCAGCTGCTGGCTGTTCCAGCACACCTCGGGGGCTGAGCAGCACTCCTGCACTCAGCTCTGCTTGTGCAGTGAGCCCCTCTGTGTTGAAAGCCTGCTCTATCAGTGCTGTGCTTGGCTCCTAGCATGATGCACCTCTGTCGCTCTGCTCTTCCACTACACACCCAGCTGAGTTTTGGCACTTCATTATAGTCCCCGATTTCCTTTCACAAAGGAGTCTAATCCAATAATTACATTACAGCAGAAAGTAAGGGGAAAAAAGTCTGGTATATAATTCTCTTGGAACACTGCTCCTGATTTATTTTTTTACAATAGATGTTGGAAATTTTCTTTATTATCAAAGATTAGATGTCTGTTGCTTAAAAAATAGCATTTATCCTTCTTACTACTATGTTCAGTAAGCTACTAAATAGGCATTTTTATCTATTTCTTATTTCAAGAGACACAATCTTAAAAATTCAGGTCTTTACTTTCAGAGGAGATGAGGCATTTGAAGAAATGTAATTATACACTCTTAACAGATGCTTTTTAATGTGTGATCTCTAGTTTTTCCTCAAATTCAACTAACCAAAAAAGGTGGCCTTTCATTTTCTACCTTTCTAATATCTTCTCCCAGCCTTTTCACAGTGGACTTTCTCTCTCTCCTCTTTCTTCCTCTTCTCTGTCTCCTCCCCTTCTCCCCCTTTCTGTTTGGGGATAGCCCATCTTTTACATTTCTCCCATTTCTCTCTTCTCCCACGTACAGCTGTCAAACACAGAGCACTGCTGACAGAACCCAGAGCACAGGGTTCTCTCTAACCCTAGTACTCCACGTAGTCAAAAACAGCCTGTGTAATCCTAACCATTAGGCCTAGCTATATATTCAAGGACATATTTACATTGCAGGAGAATAAGGCTTATTAAATAAAATGTATTAAATGACAGATTAAATTGTAAATCAAGAGATTTATATTTTCAGATTGCTTCAACACTGGAAAATACTTTATATTAGCTAATGCATGGTAAGGAAAAACTTAGGAGATGAAGATTTAAATTGTAACTTGTCTTCTGTAGAATTTAATTTCATCTTAGCTCAAGTTTACAAATACTCTTCATGTTGAATATGAGATTAACCTTACTTATGTACATAGAAATCAAGAATGAGATGAAGATACCATTGACTTTAAAAGATGTTGAGGGTAAAACACACATGACAGAAAGTTTGTGATATTTGTCAGTTTATTTATGATAATTTATGAAATTAGAATAAATAATATGATAATTTCAATATTAATTTAAGAAAAAATATGTAGTCAAGTAATTAAGTAAATAATTAATACAGATATGAATTTAAGGTGAAGATTTTAGACACTGGTCAACATCTAGCCACAGTGATGGTTTCTGATCTCCCATTCCTCTCTTTGGACAACTTTTGGCTAAATCCTGTTTCTTCCTTCACCTTAGCAACACAGTCTCGCTCCCACTAGTCTTATTTCAATAACCCTAGCAATGAAAAAAGTTTTCTTCCAGAAGGAGCCTGCAAAAAGCCTAAGTACTACATTAAACTTCCAGAAACCATTGTAGTTGTTAGCTGCTTGGCTGTGGTCTGTGCAGCTCTCCTTGGCCAAGCCCAGGCTGCAGGAAGAAACTGATTTTTTAGGAGTAGCATAGTGTGAGCCTCTATTTTCACAAATAGATAAAGTTACTAATTTGTTGGCATTGTCAATGTATTTATTTGAAGAAAGCTTAAAGAGTGTGCTGTTTAAGTCATTTCAGATGTAAACATTGATTCATTTATCACAGAAATGGTAATGTAGTAAATGAAATGGCTTCTATGCTCTTTATGCATTAGCTATTATTTATTTCAGTAGAGAGGTAAAATAGGTAAAATGTTGAATTACCTGCCTCTAAATCTAAACTAAATCTTATCCCAACTAAAAATTAATTAATTTTTTTTTTTTTAATAGACATTCATGGATGTCTTAGAAAGTGCGGTTTGGTGTGGGTTTTTTTCCTACTTTTGGACAAAGACAAGGAAACGTCTGTGGAAGCCTAACGCAGTACCTGACCCAAGGCCTTTCTCCTGCCTCGTCTGGGGGGAGCGGCTACGGGCCTTTTGTGCTGTGGGACAATGGCACCACCTGGTGGCCTCGGGAATTGTAACAGATCGGTCCTTTGACACGTGCCCGAGTAGCCTGAAAATAAAGACCAGGAAAAAAGGATTATCTTTAGTATTTTTACGGGGTCTTTTAATTTCCATCTACTTTTCTTAATTGGGTGGAGGAGTGCCACTTAAAAAGTTTGGTGAAACAATGTTTTTGAAGAGATGTAAACATTTTAGTAATGTCCAATTACTTTAAGAATAAACTTAGATATATTAAACCTTCTCCTTGAAAGAAAAACATCACTCCTGATTCACCTGCAGTTATTTAGCTACCGATGCACTGAAGACTTAAGAAAATAACTGTATCTTTGTGAATCTAGGAAAAACACAGAAAGGCAACTTAAAGGCAGATTTTAGGGGATTAGGGTTTTCAACACTAGAATATATATATTATGTGTATAATAAGCATTTCATGGACAATTAGATTTATTTGAAATTTTTTAATTCCACTCGTGAACTAAGTACTCAATTTTCACTAGTCTTATAAAAGATTTTAACAAACAAATTAAATACACTCAGGGGAACTAGTTCATCCTGGCCTTTACCATGGTTTGTTCCTTGTTTTCCATTGAAAATAACAGTATATTTTATGTTTCCATTTCAGATCCCACAGCCATCCATTGCTTTAAGAGAGGAAGCTTACAGCCTAATTATGAGTCAGCACAGAATTTATAAGGTATTTTAAATTCTCAAAAATTGAGGTTTTGGTGATGCAATAGAACTTATCTTTGGCATTTATGCAAAGTCTGCTCATTTTTACCAGCAGTGACATGTTCATAGAGATCTGGCACTATGCTAATGAACTAAACTGCTGCTCCAGTTTTCAGTTACTACTATTTTCTTTAGGAAGAAGAACACTTCCTGGTTAGTGTTTTGTGACTGTAGAGGGTGCTCTTAAAATACTGGAGATGGTAATAATATGTGGCAATCAGTTTCTTTTTCTGTAAAGCTTATCAATGTTAGGATGTTTATATTTAGCAAAGAACATTGTAGAGCTAGAGTGTTTTATTTTTGATGTGGGCAAGAGTCACTATCCACATTTGCATCCAAAAACGTCCCTGGAAACTTTTTCTGGACTTAGTTTATTTTTGCAAGTATGTTTCTGCCAAACAGTGATAGTATCTTCTGAGAAAACTATTGATGTGCTCTAAAACAAGTTGAAAGAAATACTAAATAGAGTGTATTTTTAGTTGCAAGGCAGTTGAGAGTTGAATAAGAGCTTATTGTTCCAAATATGCCATTTAAATATTAAAAAAAGTCCTTAGTTACATGAAGTTGATGCTTCCATGTTGTGCTATTTGGTATTCTGTTGGGAAGGATTTAACTTCGTTTTACTTTCATTTGTCTGTAGTTTTATTGATTGCCTCACCATACTCCCAAGCTGTTTTCTTATGTGTTTTAAATTGAATTAGCAAGTGAAAAAAATCCTAGGTGCAATAGATTAAATCAAAGTGTATCCTGCTATGCTTTTCCTCCAACAACACAATATTTTTTTTAAAATATAAAATTTATGTTCCACTCAGTACAGCCAAGAAACAATTGAGTTAATTCTGCATGCTTAAGAAATGTTGCTTCTTTCCAGTGAGAGTGGAGTTTATAAACCTCCAGAAAGATAAGAATTTTGTTTTAATAATCAGAACTGCCCGTTTTAAAGCAGTGTAAGGAGGACTAATATTCCTTAGGTCAAGATCTTTAGTGAGACTAAGATGAGGTTACAGACTATGAGCCCTCCTCTGAGTCAGGGATGTGGGAGGTGTGATCCCTGACTGACGGGGCTGTCAAAAACCCTCTGCCAGAACTGCACTGCAACAGCAGAACAGCCATTTGTCCTAAGAGGTCATTAGACTGGCAGGAGATGAAACAGATACTACAGAAGCAGAGTTTGCTCAATTCAAACTTTTCCTAGCAACAGATTCTTACACTCCATTTATACACTTACCCTGACATGGTACTGTTAGATGTGAACTCAGTCTATTTTCTAGGACTTCACCAGTGGTCACTTGAGATTCAGCATCACAAAGACTGTGACTCTTGTACAGCAGCTCTGCTGTAGGCCCAGTTTAATGCACAGAAGTCAGTGCAGCATGTTGTGCCTGGGGAAGGCCTCTGAGCAATAGCCAAATTCAGCAGCATCTATTCTAGGGAGACTTTGCCAAGACCACTATATTAGGAAACCTTGTAAGCATAGGTCAAGCTCAATAGCTGTTTTCTGGCTTCCAATGACATGAACTTGTCCTGTTCCAGTCTCCAGCTTCCACATCAAATTCATCACTAGCAGCTTACAGGTTAGAGCATGTCCCTGGATCATACAAAGTGGTCTTGGTGTTACCTAGGACTGTGACCGCAGGCTTAAAATAGTCAAATAAAATTCTTTGTGAGAGCTGGCAAAAATTAACTATCCCCACTCATCAGGCAAGTCTCTTCAACAGAAGAAATGTTGCTGCCTGAGGTCTGATGGTGGGAAATATTTCTGTTACAAGTCATGTAATAGGGAGGTGCAATGATCAGCCAGAGACAAGCATTTTGTCTCACAGGGCTTTCCTCCTCAGGATTAAGTAGAAAGAGATTTGACCAAACAAAACCTAGGCCTCTTCCAACCTTAAGTACACAAACTATTAAGACAAATAGTCATACTTAGTTCTCTTTCCATTCACAGTATTTCTGGTGGGCGGTGTTTTCACTTCCCTAGGAGAAACTAGAAGTGTTTCCCCTAAACATCCCTTATACTGAGGTTCTTAAAATGGAAGGTAAGAAAGGCAAATCTTATACCCTCAGAGTCAAGACTCAAACATGGACTTCCCCTGAGCACTAATCTTCTTTTCACTGAGCTATTAGGTAAAACAGATAATACTTTTGCTCCCATTTTATAAGAACAGGTTAACATAAATTTCTAACTCTAGGAGAGTTCAAGAATGTATTTTGTAGATTTTCACACCTCTGCAGTTCACATTAAAGGACCAGAATATCAGAAACAGATGGAACTCAAGACCCATCATCTTTTCTTTATAATGGCCAGTCAGGATGTAACTTATCAACTTCAGTCATTCCTGTAGTGGATTCTCTTTTCCTGAAGTGTGAAAACACCAATGCACTTCATTCAGGGTTGGAGACTCCATTACAGCAAACATCACAGTACCTCTTAAGCTGCAGCCACTTAAAAAAATTACTCAACACGTTCTACATTGAGTCTGCCTTTACGGGTTCACTTTTTACAGCTCATTCTGCAATTCTAGAAAATCTTGAAAGCTCAGGAATAAAATCTTGCAATGTATAGTACTTGCATATTTCAAACAATGAAAGCTGTAAATGATGCACATGCTGGAATGTCAATAAGACAAATGAAAGTTTTCATTGGGAAAATGCAAACCAGAAGACAGATAGTTTGTTTTGCTTTAGGCAAAGCATGAATGCAAACATTTAAACTGGAGAAACTCCCCTTTCCTTCTGTGGCGGCCCCTCTGAGTCATTACATTAATTACTTGGAACTATTTACCTACTTCCCTTCATTTAGGCCCCAGGTGCAGAAACTGGGTACAGAAAATTATTTTCATTCTTTTTTCTGGAGTGAAAAAACAATATATGGAAACACTCATCATTTCCTTTCTGAAATCCATGAAGGTGAGAAGGGGTGGCATCCTAATATATATATTGTGTTTTCCTGTTAATACCCTGTCGCAAAACACAGGAGTGGTAGGGGGTGTCAGTGATGTTTCTTTTCTGAGGTACAGTGAAAATATTTGTTTAGTTTTGTTGCATTAGCAGGGGCAGCAGACAGTGTTTGCACTCAAGCATCTTCTAGTACTTTACTGAAGGGATACCCCTAATTCTTGAAGAAAGACAAATATCTCATTTTACAAATGTGCTGACCTGTGCTTATGAAATGGCTTTGACAGCCTCTTTCTGTGCTCAGTGTTACACTGTCTTTGAAATGTGTCCTTATGCAGCCACATCCAGGCATACCCTTTTCCATATGTGAAAGTAGAGAATTAATGGAGGCATTAAATGTTTAAAAAATAAACTATGAATCACATTAGAAAATTTAAAAAACAACATAGAAGAGGCTCAAAACCTTAATTTCTAAATTGGTAGCAAGAGGGTTCAGTTTCAATATCTTCAGTTCTTTCTGGCAAGATAGCCATGTCTCAAAGCTCATGCTAGAGTTTCATTTCTAACTTCCCTCTGGGGAAAAAATGAATTAAACCTTTTCTTGTACTCTAAGATGTTCTGCTCTTCATTATTTTGTAATGGAAACAGCAGACTGTAGGATATGGGCTGTATAGATATCTTTAAATAATAACTAACAAAATCTATGGGTATTTTCACAAAGTATAGTCAACTTTTCCCTTCCTAATAAAGAGGATCAGTCAATCCCAGGGTAGCCCAGGTCATCAGGGGGTGGCTACTGAGTCTGGCTCCCCCTGTCACAGCTGCCTGGCAGTGGGCCCACCCTCGGGAACAGCCAGCTGGCTCTGCTGTGCATTTCAGCTTCCTCCAAGCTTGCATGTGGACCTGTGAAGCAGCTGAGTGTATTTTGCCTGATCGGCTTATTTGTTGTCAATCCAGAGAGTTTTCCCATTGCCATGAGTGCTGATGATGCAGTCAGTTTTCAGCATGGCCCCTCTGCTCTGTCATTTCTGCTGCTCTGTGCTGGCTCTTCAAAAGATCAGATCTGTTTCACAGATTTTGCTTGTTTTCAAGTCAGTTCAGCACTTCTCTGTTCTGATATGGCTTGTCCAGATGCACAAGTTCCTTTTTGCAGTCTGCCAACTTTTGGCCCTGAGCAGACTCAAACTATGAGAAAGACAAGTCCTTCCTCTACTTTCTTTTGTATTCCAGCTGTATACCTGTGAAACTATACAAGCTATAGGGTGACCCTTCATTTAGAAGATCTTGTTAAAGCATAGATGTGCATATTCATCATTAATGACACATTTCAAACTTTACTCAGAAATATAACTCCCTCATGGAGCTGTGAGCAGTAACAAACAAAAGCAGCCTCTTCCATGTTCTTCCTCGGATGTCAAAAGAAGGGCTTAAGTAGCATCTGTCATAGAAACAGAACTTCAAATTCTAGGGTGTAAATCCATGTGTTCAAGGATTTTTAGAGGCAATTTTTGGATTAATTAAGGAGAGTAATTCAGAATAAATAAAATATATTTTCTAGAACATTTTTTTTATTAAAAATATTATGTATGCCCAAAGTATACAGCACTTTCCATTCCCAACTAATAATCAAGTTTTTTTTTTCTGAAAAATAAACTTTCTTGACTTAGTGAACATAAGAAGATGATATTGTAATTCATTTAACTATTTAGTCTTATTTTAAATACCATCAGACTAATATCTTGTTGTATTTAGCTACCTAGATGAGGGAAAGTGATATTTGTAAAACTGTATTTTAATATCTGTTCCTTTTTATTGTATATTGTCTTATTCAATAGGACAGCAATGGAAACATTGGTGCTGATAGTCATTGCTTTACATAACCCCATGATCTTGGTTTCTGTCTCAGCTCAGTAGCACAAGTGTTCACAAATCTGTCATTACAAAAGTCTCTTCAGATTGTTTTTGGGCTTTTTCTGTGTTTGCAACATCCTTACATGATGTGAATTTGAATGAGGAAAAATGGTCCATTGCCAGATTGTAATATCTGATGGAGGTGAATTTAAGACCTTG